TCGCAGAGCTGAAAGCCTTTGTGTCGCAGTCTGACGAGCTCGCACCCAGTGGCACTTGGCACTAACAACGGGGCACACACGGGGCGGCGGACCACTTTCGCACCACGCACCGGTATAATCTGAGAAAGGCTGTCCCCTTTGCGATTTCGTGCTGGACGATAGACTTTTTTTCAGCAACCGAGGTCCGCAAAATACGGTCTAGCCTCACCATAGTTCAATGGCCTGTGCTGGTAAAAAAGTTTGCGCCCGCCCAGTTTGCTGCCAGTGTTTCTGTTTAAGTGTTCACATATCTTGTGTTTTCCATGTTTGTTTTTTGCCTAATATTAAGGGCCATTTTACTCTGAATTTTTGTGTGTGTTTTATTTGGTGTTGTGAATACTGGTATTTATGCAGTAGAGAGAGCGAGGAAGGATGCTTTGGGCCTTCTTTCATGCACTATCATCAGAGGTGTGTGTGTACGTGCTTATGTGTGTGTATGTGTGTGATGCCTTCCATGCGTACCTGGGAAAAGTGCGTGTTGTGGCTTCATTCCATTGAAGTCAAAAATAAAGGTGCCCGGTGCCCTGGCTACCTGACATCTAACAGTCCGGCTGTGCCCTGCTCTTGGCTGTTGCCAAGAATTCTTGCTGCACCTTCCACCATGGCAACTGCGCAAGTACAGCTGTCATAGCAGCTATACATTCTGTCTGTCAATGCCAGAACGCCTCACAGCCCATTTCCGTTCTCTCTCCTTTATTCTGGGAGAGGGCCAGCTGCCCAGCAACGTTCTCTATTATCCGACCAAGGGTTCGGGACCTCTCAGCCACCAATGAAGCGACATTCATCGAACTCGCTGACAAATCAACAAAAGCAACGAGCCATCAGTGTGCTTCCTTCCTTGACATCTCACACGTTGATATAGCACCCAGCGTATATTATTACGCTCTTCCGCCCCTTCATGAAATGTACGCTGTCCCACCTAAGCATCACGAACACCAGCCCTACTTTCCTGTGCTCCCTTTCGCAGATACATATTGTTACGTCAGTAACGAGTCAATATATTGCAAACATATTTAGAAAATATATTTGCAAGAGTGGTTGCAGCGCTGGCCAGTCTGGCTCCGAGTTCGAGCAGCAAGCGACCTTCATCCTCTTTGTCGGGCACACATGCACATTGACAATATGCATTGCTGCAGCCTACTTGTAGCAGAACCCCTGTCCGCTTAAGCTGCAGCATTTTCTCGTCTCATCACACTTTTGACGATGCCCCCTATCCTGGTCCTCTTTGACCCATCCGCCCAAACAGAGGCTCGAACGGATGCCAGTGGTCACGGTATCGAAACCGTTCTCGCCCAACACCAACAAGGACACGACCGCATTATCACCTATGCTAGCCATCTCCTTACACCTGCAGAACGCAAGTATTCGATCATGGAGCGAGAATGCCTTGTTCTTGTCTGGGCAGTCTCAAAGTTCCGTCCATATTTATATGGCGCACACTTCTCCGTCATCGCGGACCACCACACGCCCTGCTGGCTTTCATCCTTGAGAGATCCCACAGGTCGATTTGGTCGCTGGGCTCTGCGACTGCAAGAATATACTTTTGCTGTGGCTTACAAGTCTGGACGCCTGCATCAGGATGCTGATTGCTTTTCTCGCTATCCAGTTGGCGAACCAGCTGGCATACCTGACGACACCTACGTGGGCTCCATTTCCCAACTGACCCACATAGCCGACGATCATTGTCATGATGCAGCCTTACGGGCTATCATCGAGCACCTCGTCTCTTCTCCATCGAACCGATCCCATCGTGCATTTGTACTCCAGAATGGTACATTATACCAGCATAACTTCCATTCAGATGGCCCACCTTTGCTGCTTGCTATACCCAAACACCTCCGCTCGGCTGTACTTCGCGAACTTCACGACGTTCGTACTGCCGGTCACCTTGGCGTGTCCCGCACATACGATCGGATTCGCCATCGCTCGCATGCTTCGTCAGAAGATACGTTGCGGTAGAAGGGGATGTGGGGTTTGAGACTGACCAGTTTCCATTTCCCGGGCTTTTTTACCATTTTCTGCTGTCTTCATGTCCAAACATCACTCTCCCTATCTTCTGTGGTTTTGTCGGGTCTGAGAGAGTGGGAATGATGTTCCCCTCTCACCCAGTACCGGATGGTACTTGTCACAAAATTGTCTCAGGAGCACTTTCAAGGGACTGGATTGAGAGAGACGAGAAAGGGGCGTGGCAAAACACTTTATGACCCAAAAGCAGAAAGTTGTGGGGTCTAGACGCCACCACACTCTTGTAGTGAACGTGCACAGCAGACGCGGTCGGTACAAACCAAACAACAACATACAATTATTTCACTGCTTTAGAACAACGATATCGTCCGCCGAAATATTGTAACACCAATCGTGATCAACACGCTAGGACATTCTTACACAATATTACCATACACTTCGAAACATGACAAACACAAGAACACACCCGAGGCGGCATCGCCAACGCTTGACTTACCACGAGGGCCCCCGATGTGTAAGCCGCGTTGCCACGCACCGGGGACTCACGCTAGGGACAACCGTCTGCTGCAACCAGCACGTGCAGAAAAGACCAGCTTATTTCTCACTCGCCGCTACCAAGGCTTGTCGCCGCTGGCGCTATACCATGATGATGATGATAGTGGTGATCAATGCTTGCGAACACAACGCCACCTACCACCCAGTAGTTGTAACCCGAAATGCAGCTTTTGGGCGAGACACGTGTGCCACGCAGCGTAAACAACTTTACAGGGGGTATCAGCACCCCCACAAAATCAAAAGTGAAACCTAACACACGCGGACACACGAAGTTACCCCAATAGCACAAACAAAACCGACTACAAACCAGTCTAAATTCGTTCCAAGCCATAGCCGCTACTCCTAATCCAATATGGCGTCTCAACAATAGAAGGTTTTTACAGTTCTCATTGGTTTCTCTCCATTGCCGTGTCAATGGTTTCTTGAGTACGTCGTTGACATGCTGCTCCACTTCTTAGGTCACCGTTGGTTGATCCTGCTGAAACGAACCCCTCTTCCTCATCGCCTATGTCCCGATCTTCAGCCGTCATCTTCAGCTTTGCTGGGCAAGGCTTAGCTTGTTATGGACTCCCTTGTTGACCCGTATGCTCTGCTGACTGGTGTGGGCTGCTATCGCTCTAGCGCAAAGTGGGATAGCTACAAGTCCACCAGGAACTGCTGGGCAAGAATGTGGCAAGCCTGGGCAGCCTCACTCTGGAGCACCTCCGAGATAGACGGCCATTTCATGCGCCTCTCACGCCAACATCTTTCAGAACTGGGCGGCCATGCTTCTCCCATCACTGTAGCACTACTGGTTTCTGACGTCTTCGCAGCCCCACAGCACAGCGCCAGCTCATCCTCTGTGATTTTCTATCGCGCGCGTCTTTTACTGACAAATCTCGTACAAGGCACGTCTGCACACTATTGGAGGGTCTCGTGCACGTCTGCCGCATTCCAGCTCCCGGCATGTGCCTCATGCCCTCTTTCTCATGACAGTACTGGATGTCGACGGTAGCGTTGTGCTTGAGTCCCGCGAGACGTTCTTGCACACACGCCCGGTGGGAGTTAGAGGGGAAAGATGAGCACACCTTTTCTTTCTTGCCCATCAGCTCCTTTCTTCTTCGAGCTCGCTCGAACTTGCCAACAGTGCCTTGCACCCACGGTGAACGCTTACCCTTCGTTGTCCCCTTTAGAGCTCTAGGTTGAAGAGTGGTGCGGTGTGCCTACATGTGGTCATACTGTGCCGACCCATGTACCTCTCGAAGGCAATACGAGCAGAGTTTGTTCTCGCTTGTGCGATCGGGCCCTGTGGTCGCTGATTTTGAGAGCGCTCAGCATAGTCTCGTGGGGCCGGTTCCCTCAGTGGCAAGTCATTGTTAACGGCTTTACCCACGGAGAGGTGCTCGCGGCACCTTTTGTATTGCACTTTCACCCGTGGTGTAGATAAGCCACTTTTGCTTTCCTGCCGCATTTCGCAGTGGGCATTGAGATGTGTTTTCTGTGTTTACGTAGGCAATAAAATGTTGCGACTTGTTTGAAAGCAGTACTGTGTACTTGCCGTGCTGGCCTGATGCTTTGGCTGTCCGAACGCGCGTGTGTAGCAGCGCGAGTCACGGGAGGCGACATGTAGCTTGCTAAGACCGAACTCCCCCCTAGTAGCCGTACTCTTGCGTGATACGTGTAAACTGCAAGCCAGGAGAGTTCATCTTCAACTTTTCTGATCACTGGCCTTGCTCAACAGAAAAAAACAACACATAGTCATTTCGGCACCTATACGGTTGGCATGGTCAGTACACAATGATTCCGCAAATTTTTTTGGGTCCCATCATTGTTCTCGAGGCCAGCGTCGTTGCATTATCGACATCAAACTATAGTGAATCAAATACATCACTCCTGACAATGCTAAAACATTACAATATTTCAATACACTCAGTCGAAATAACAACAAACACAAGGTAACGCGAAGGTGGCGTTGCCGATGTTTGACTTGCTGCGAGGGAGCCATGGGACACCACCTGCAGTCGTCACATTCTGCGGGACCCTGTTGGGAGACGAGCATCTACGCCAGCCGCCGCAGGCCAAAAAGAGTTCCAAATCTTTTTTTGTGCGTCGCTACAGTGTGGCAGCTAGCGTCACTGCAGGGTGGTATTGCTAGCGCTCCTGCACTAACTGTGATGATGGTGAACTCGCGTGAGCACTGCGCCGCGTACTGCTCGATGTTTGTTAGCCCTAAATGTGGCCTATCAGCGAACCACATGTGCGCCTCGAGGTGCAAATGTCTTCACAGGAGGGGATAGCAATCCCACGCACATTAGATGCGCAGGCATCATTTGGCATAACTTCATGTGGTTTTGTGGCCATGCAGTTAATATAACACTTGTTGAGCAGTGCTAGGCTTAGAAATGAACTGCTTGCACTACAGTGTAAGAATGTCACCAGTGATCAATGTTTGTTCTCTCTAGGTCCTTGGAGGCCTTTATCCGTTCAAAGTACGAGCAGAAGAAGTACATAGCCAAAGAGTGGGTGCCACCTCCCATGCCACCTCCTGCTGTAAGTTGGTGCACAGTATTTATATATAGAAGCTTGTGCTTTGCAGAAACCATTTCATTTATTGCAGTAGCTTATTTGTTGGTGCACAGCGTCTTTCTGATGTGTCAGTGCAATATAAGGGCCGGAAAGATTTAGCTCTGGTCATGGAGTTAGGTAAAGCAGACGTGCCGACTCCACTCTTGTGGAAAGGACACATTCTGCAACGCTGAATCTTGCTTCATGGCGTGTTCTCCAGATGGTGCTACGAAATGGAGAAAAGCTGTCAAAGGGAGGCAGCTGTTAAGTGGAGTCATGCGCGGGGTTCCCTCTGTTATTGTTATAGTAATCGTCCACTGTCACTCTTTGCCGCGTTCAGGTGTCTGCTTGGATACCTGTTTTGTTGTCTGCTCCCTCCTTGTCGCTTCCCGCCACTGGCTTCTCCCAGTCAAATCATGTTCTTGAGCAAAAGTTTTGAATGGTTTACATGCACCTTCATGTGCCTCGAGAGCTGGCACTACACATTGTGATTAGCACAGGGAGACAAAGCATGAAAAGGATTGGAGGGAGAGAGCAAATAATGATTTGCACCTTGCATCCTCGTTGCACGGTTTGTCCCGAGCAAATGGAGCAAATGCATTGGTGGTGGTAGAGTTGGTGTTACTGTCTTATCTTATTCCGGGGCTTTGGTTCAGTAGTGCCTTTAAATGCCTGTTTTTGGTTCTGAACTAAAGGTATACGGATGGAGGCTGTGTGAGGCACAGCTTGCTTAATGAAGTGAATGGAGGATGAGGCACAGAAGGCATTGACGAGGAGTTGGTGTGCAATGTGTTTTGTTGCTTGCTACAAAACACATTGCTGCTTGTTCACTTGCGCATGACCACTAGCATGGTGTTCCTAATTGAAAATGTTGAGATTTATCTCATATATTGTCTCCATGAGCAGAGTTGGGCCTAGCCACGACTCTAAGCTGTAGGTATGCAATATACATAGCGGTGGTGCCCAAGGTTTCAAACATAATGCTTTTTCTCAAGTACAATAGAAAAAGCCACCACATGATAGTATTCATTATGTGGTTTGAATCCTGATGAAGAACTTTACCTGCTAGTCCAATGATTCATTGCAATATGCCAGCACTTGTGAGATGTTCACGATGAGCCCATCGCCCTGTCAGAACCTGGTTGAGCTAAACTAAAGTTTCTGTCAGATTATATTCCAAATGACTACCGAGCCGTGAACCCAAATCAAGTGTGAGCACCTAGAGGGTGCGTGTAGGTTCTGCTAACCTTTGAAAACCATTAAAATTGATAGGCACATTTGCAAGATTCTTGAAAGTTGAAATGTTTTTTCCCTCTTCTGAATGCTTGAATTCATTAGCGTATTCAATGCCTGTAACTCTTGGAGGCAGAGGTGTGTGCTGAGAGGTTTCACAATGAGGCATGCTCTTCTTGGAGCGAACGGACACAGTAGACGCGGTCAGACTTAACCAACCACATTTTTTTAACTACTTTTGCATTGATGATATCGTCAGCCAAGTCAAAATACGTCACTCTATAGGCCAAGAAAACCTTGTACAATATTTCAATATACTCAATGAAACATAAGAACAAGCACTAGGTAGCGCGAGAACGGCGCCGCCATCGCTTGACTCATCACAAGGGCTCATGGCAGATGACCCGCGGTGCCGTCCCCCTACGTACCCCCTGCGAGAGGCAACAGTTTAGCCAGCCGCCACGCACCAAAGAGGACAGCTCATCTTTCATGTGCCACCACCCAGCCGGGCTGCCAACTTCACTGCTGGTGCTATCACGCTAACCATGATGATCATAATGGTGATAAATGCTCGTGAGCACGACGCCACCTTCTGCTCAGCAGCTGTTAACCTTGACGGCAGCTTACTCACGGGACATGTGTGTGTGCCATGATTTGTAAACAACTTTACAAGAGGTAATAGTGCTTCCAGATTCCCTCAACCTTAATTCAAACCGTATCCCCCCCCCCCCCCCACGAAAAAAAACAACAAAGAAATAGGCTCTACCAAGCTCTAATGAAAGATGACAACACATGTTCTTAAAGAATGTCCATGGACTACGACACCGCCACCAGTCGACACTACTGCACTGTCAGCATGACAGGGGTGAGACAGCTACGCATATTGCGCATTTTTGATACATTTTTGTTTTCTTGCACCAAGCTGCTCTAAAAGCATAAAAATCCCGAAAGTTGAACCGAACATGCTCCAAAACAGCCTCGAAAGCTAGAAATTTGATGCAAACCTCAGCTTCAGTTGGGAAAAAAGGCCGAGCTCACTAATAAGACGTGCCCATTTATGTTTTCTTACTTTGCACCTTTCTGGTGAGAAAGCTACCATGCATGGTGCGGCCATAATCTCCTTTAAACTGTTTAATATACGGGACCCTGCAAAAATGTGCTGCCGTGCATCGAGCATGTTGCTTATACTAGCTAGGCTGTGTGTTCTGATGCTTCTGTCGCCTAGCGAAAACCACAGAGTCGAGTGGCGAGTGTAGCAGTGCTGACTCTCAGGTTATTTGGGGTGCGTAACGTGTTCCTCCGGTCGCTAGTTTTCATGTCAAGGCTGCTGCGTGCAGGTCACCTACGCGTGCACGTTTTCCGTGAGCAAGTAACCGTAAACATGAAGTCATTTCCCTGCATGCGATGCATCTCTTGGATGCTCTAGGTGCGTGCCAACCCATTCCTGGTTTGTGCCCAATTGCTACTAATTTATTTAGACATGTGAGTTTTCATTGCATATAAAAAAGCCATTCGCACGCGGAAATTGGCTTATCGGTGTCAGCAGGTAGAGTGACTTAGTTGTTTACAAAGCCGTGGTGACAGAACGCGCGTTCAAACAATTTGAAACGATATTAACGGGCATCTCGACGCTTTATTCGTGACTCAGTGACGCGTCGGTGACCACGTGGCGCAGTTTTCATGAATGCGTATTTGCCACTGGGCTCGCAACGAGTGCTTTAAGAGGCATCGCTGCATGCCGGCTCTGGGCTACTCAAGTTTTTAGGCTTAGCTTTATCTTGGATCGGTGTTTCGGTTGGCGACTGTACCGCTGTGTGACTTCGTTTTTTTTTTGTTCTATTCTTTCTTTGCATTAAAACCAGTTTCTGTTGGTTCGGAGGTTCGTTTGCGTGGACACGAATTTGTTACCTGTGCTACGCAGTGCAAGCGCTTACCTAGAGTTATGCGCAGGCGGCAATCGCAATTCAATGTGTTATCAGGGAGTTATACATCGATGATGGTGACGTACAATATTAAAAAAAAAAAGTACAACTGGCTTATTTTCAAACCCAGTCAGTTTGAAACCACAAATTTATTAACAATAGTACCAAAAAAAAAATCATCAAATGAAAATCATCGTAAACATGATCAAAGATATTTCATAAAACCATCAACACTGCTTTGAACGGGCTAAGCACAAAAAGAAATGGAATATAGATTTTAAGCACAAGGAGCACACACAATTATCCTGTAAATATAAGTGCTGTAGATACAAAAGTTTTTGTGTACATAAAATAACATACACGTAGTGTTTTTCATGCCACCATGCAAAGCAGTTTTGCAATGTGATGAAAACACAGGTTTGCTGCACATGTTTCGCAGAAAACACTCACTCGCTTTCTGTTCAACTTTTTTTTGTTCATAGCATAATTTACTGTTCCTGTTTTTTTTTACTGGTGTTGTTAGTTTAGAGGAGTGTTTTGCGTAGAATCATCAAGATGGACTTTGGGACCTCCAAGAACCGTCTCTCTCGCTGTACGTCTGCTTTTGAAAAATATGCGTCCAAGCATATTTATATGTGTTTAGCATAGCTCTTCAATAACTTGAACTGTAAAAAACAAAAAGTAGACAGCAGCTCATGAAGCGCCGCGCGGCACTACGTAACTCGGCTCTAAGGTTCACTCCCAGCTGCCTCCGCGCACGAAACTGCACTCCTTGCGCTGCTGCCCGCATGAAGTCCCGCCCGAAGGAAGTGGACGCCCTGCAGATAAGGGCTCTAACCTTCAGAACACATTTGGTCAACTTACACCGACGTGCCCCGGCAATAACGCGGCCCGAGCGCAAAGGTAAACTCACCGGTGGACGACCGCTGATGTTCCGGGGTGGTCTTGCTCTCGTCGTCTGCGCTGAAATCAAAAGTGTCGATGTCGTCTTCTGATCCTGTGCTGTTGTCGTCATTTGAATATCCCAGCCCATATGAATGAAAATCCTCCGAAATTCACCGTTTTCGTGAAGCGGTCGCACACGAGGTCGACGCCATGATTGTAACTATGCACGCTCACTCGCGCGCGTGAAAAGGCACCTTAAAATCATCACACGGGGAAAAAGAGAAACACAAAAGCGAAACTGATGAAACACTTTTTCTTTTACACGTTAGATAGTGCAAGGAGTCCAAAAGCGTTCGAAACACAAAAGCAAAACTGATGAAACACTTTTTCTTTTACACGTTAGATAGTGCAAGGGGTCCAAAAGCGTTCGAAACAGGGCAGATATACAAGTTGTAAACATCGAAAACATACTATCTATGGGAGATAGGCGCAGTCAGGGAAGAGTTAGCCCTTACTATGGCCTACTTAATAGGACACATGTGTGCCACGAGGCACAAAAAATGACTTTACAGGGGTTGATAGTGCCCCCCACAGTGTGCAGGGTATTCCATTGGGGGGGGGGGGGGGGAAGCTTAAAGGGACACTAAAGGGCAAAATGATTTTCATGTATTTGTTGAGTACAATTTTGCGATCCCAAAAATGCCACTCTTACCGCCACACATGTGCTTATTAAGCGAGAAAATGCGCAAAAAGAAAATATGGGTGGGGATGCCACCTTGATTCCTGCCCCGACAACTGTGATGTCAGAAATTTTTGAAAGCATCTGCCGAGTCCTACGTATCCTCCAATTGATAAAAATGTAGGGACATTTGCATTTGTGAGTGTCATAGACTTAGAATACGATGTTTCAGAAAATTATATCGAGCCAATGCCATGAAAATACAA